GGGAGGCTGAGATGGGTAGATTTTTTGAGCTCATGAGTTTGAGACCAGCCTGAGCAAGAGTGAGACTCTGTCTCTAAAACTAGCCAGGTGTTGTGGCAAGCGCCTATAGTTCCAGCTATCTAGGAGGCTGATGCAAGAGAATAGCTTGAGCCGAAGAGTTTGAGTTTGCTGTGAGCTATGACATTACAGCACTCTACTGAGGGAACAAAGTGAGAGTCCGTCTCAAAAAAAAAAAAAAAAAGAAAGAAAGAAAAAAAAGATAACAGTTAAACAAAATAAAACTTATTTCTGGAATTTTCCACTTTATATATATGTACATATATATCTTGTATGTGTGTGTGTGTAATTTTTGGCCAGGGCCGGGTTTGAACCCACCACCTCCAGTATATGAGGCTGGCACCCTATTCCTTTGAGCCATAGGCGCTGCCCTCCACTTAATATTTTTAGACCATAATTACCTGCAGGCAGCTGAAACCATGGTAAGGAGGGACCACTGTATTTATACATTATCTGAGGGAGTCATTAGGGTTAAAGAGAGAAGAATGACCCAAGTTCCCAGGGGAGGACTTCTCTCTCTCTCTCTTTTATTTGGTATGGCACCCAGGCAGAATGACCAACTTTTTTTTTTTTGGCTGGGACTGGGTTTGAACCTGCCACCTCCGGCATATGGGGTCTGTGCCCTACTCCTTGTGCCACAGGTGCCGCCCAACCAAAAGTTAAACTTTGATTTTGAGGCAATCATTTAATCAGCGGTTGGCAAATATTTTCCTATTAGGTCAGATAATAAATACTTCAGGCTTTGTGGGCCATCTCTAGTAAAAATAGAAAAGTTACCCAGGTGTTGTGGTGGGCGCCTGTAGTCCCAGCTGCCAGGGAGGCTGAGGCAGAATTATTTGAATCCAAGAGTTTAAGGTTACTGTGAGCTTGGCTGATACCACAGCACTCTAAATTGAGTGACGCTTTGTCTCAGCTGGGGGTGGGTCCTCAACAACATAGAGGATGTTGGTGAACCCCATGACCTCCTTTTTCACCCCTAGGCCCAGCAACTGAGGCCCCCAAAGTGAAGTGTAGGTACTGATGTGGCAGCTGTACTTTTCAAACTTTTCCTAAGAATTTATATACCCGTTTGTGCTTAAAGAAATGTTTATACATAGCTTGGTATGGTTCTGCACAAGTACTGTGTGGTTTGAACAATATGACTGGCTGACGATTTCATCTCCAGGTGTGCATCCACTGTATTCTTTTAAGCTGTCGTGTGTGCTAATTTTCCTGCATAGCCATTTCGAATTTTTATTTACTGTAGGCGGTGCTGCACTGAATGTTCTTGGTATCTTCGTGGGCACCTTCCCGGAAACTAGGAGAGCTGAGCCTGTCATATCCTTGCTGACAATTTGTAATTTATACTTCGATTTTCTAATTGATCCAGCTTAAGTTATGGTTAGCTTTCTTTTTTATTAATATATAGCTTTTTATTAATATAGCCTACATACTTTGGTCATTTATTTGCTTATCATTGTATAGTGAATGCTGCCTGGAAAATTTAGTCTTTTTAAATTTGTAAAAATTTCTTTTGAGACAAAATCCCAATGATGACCATTTGAAGAGAAACACAGAAGTTCTCTCTCTGTATGTCAAGCCCATTCATTATACGCCATCTGCATCCTCCAGACCTGTCTTTACCTTCTACTTGACTTGTTGATTTCTAAGTCAGCACCTGTGATTATGGCTTTGTCAATTTTTTTCATTGTATTTCTATTTGTTTTGCTCTATATAGTTCCCAGTTATGTTGTTAGGGACATAAAGTTCATGACTATTGGCCCTTCTTGGCAAACTCTTCCTTTTTATGAGATATCCTTTAAAATTATTTTTGCCTTTAATTCAGTTTAGTTAGCTATTAACTTTGGGCTTTCCTTTTTGGTAGCATTTGTATGGTCTTTTCCCATCTCTCTTTTTTATTTATTTTCAAATTTATTTTTTCCCCCATCTCTTTATTTCAACTCCGACCCCAACCCCCGTTGGTGTTTTGTTGCAGGTGTGTCTAACTTTATGTAGCTGGGATTTAAATTTTTTTTTTTTTTGGACCATCTGAACATCTTTGATTTTTTTAATAGGTGAGTTTAACCCATTTGCAACAAGTGCAATGATGTTTGGCTATATTCCCGTCTTATTTTGTATTCTCCTTACCAGTTCTTTAAAAAAAATTGTGAAGTTAGGTCTCTGTACAAATAGTTGCAAACCAAACACCCTGTAGCCACCACTCAGATTTCTATCATGATTTTTTGTCATTCTCCCCACCCTTGGGTAGGCTTTAGCTATTATTTTATTTAAAAAAATTTTTTTTTCCAGATCAAGAGTCAAACTCAGCACACGGCAGTTCTAGCTGAAACTTTACGGGGAGTGACATGGGCCTTCCTTAGTTCCCTTTTCAGTGCTTTTCTCATCCCTCCAGCCCATCTTCCTACTGTTCCATCCATCCATTCTTTCTACCAAAACACGTGTTCCCACCACACTTACTTGTTTCCTAGGCCTTATTCTCTGCTAGTTTCTCTGCTTAAAAAGGCTTGAAACTCACCTATGAAGAATTATTAATTCATTACGGGCTAGTTGGTGATGGCATTTTTACTGGAAGCTTCCTGAAGATAAATAAGCCTTAAAGACCTCAATGAATAATCTGTAGGGGGTGGGAGTCCTTCATCAGCGAGACTACCAGAGTTTGAATCCCATTTCTGCCATTTACCAATAAGCATCTTATTTAACCTCTCTATGCCTCAGTTTTCTTGCCTGTAAAGTGGGATAACAAAAGCACCTACCCTACAGGGTTGTAGGGAGTTAATGTCTGTCAGGAGCGCAGAGTAATGGCTGGCACCCAGTAAGCGCTCAGGAGATGCTGGCGCTTACTGGCCCATTCTCACAGCCCCAAAGAAATGCTTCTGCAGAAGACCTTGGTCGTTTCCAACTCACTCTTTCTGTGAGGATACACTAATGACAACAGACAAGACACCCGAGATAGACACACATATAAATGAGCTGTTTTTATTCATCTTTGTGTGGTGGCTCAGGGCCCACAGTACCTTGGGCACAGCAACCACTCCATATGTGTTGCTGAATGACAAAGAAAGAAAAAGGGACTGAAAACTAGAGTTCTAAAATAATAGAAAATAATGGGGAACAGACCAGCTGAAATCTCCTATGGCTTTAGACTACAGTGCATCACTGAGTAAAAGTGCAATAATATAGAATTTCCAGAAGTAATGTTACAAAGTATGGGCATAAATATCAGCCAGATAATCTCCCCACAGTGAGGATATGCTCAGAAGAGATGACCTAGTGAGTGAAGAGCTATTTATTTAGCCATTAAAAAAAAAGGGGTCCTTTGGCAAAATTTCCTTTAGCATCATGAATTTAAACTTGGCCTACATTATAACACCTCTTCTTGGAAAACAAACAAAATTGGCTCACATAAGAGGCAAGCTATTGGCTTGGTAAACAAAGGTGTCTCTATTTTGCAGGAACATTACATTATTTTCTTACTTCATCTGTACCTGTAACAAAAATTTTGCTTTATAAGAGCAGCACAAATCTCCAGTTAATTTAGTGCTTTATTTTTTCATTCTCCATAGAATACTGGTTTTGTAACAGTGGATACAGTCTAATACATACATCATTAAAACAAACTTCCCCTTTATAAAAGATGAGCAAAAATACATCAGCAAGGATATAGCTAGTGCATTTATAAAATACATCAGAATAATGAAACCAAATGATCACACAATAATCTTCATAATTTAATATAACAGTTACAGCCAAAGAGAGCCACTAAAGTGCCAGGATCTTTGGCCAGTGATTTATATACTTAAGCAATGACACTGGTCAATCAAAACACCTGGGAAATGTTAATTCTTTATCAGTTAAACCTCACGTAATGATAGGAACAACAGTGGACTGGGAAGTAGTACATGTAGCTTCTTGTCTTTGTCCTTGGATGGAAGATCTTGGGCAATCAACCTATGAATCTTTCACTTTTAAAATGAAAGAGTTGGCTGGATGGTTCACTAAGGTCTAAGTTTAACTTTCTATGATTCTAAATCTTTGATACTTATTCATTTTCATGTTATAAAATGAAATCTTTAATGATACTAACTTGGCATTTGGGTTGATTTTAGCTCCACCCATACAGGTCTGTTCAAACAGTTCTCTCTTTTATAAGTTCTGAGACAGCCCAATCCTCAAATTAACAAAAATGGTAATTGGCTTCAGGAGGGAAAGAGTTAGTTCTCAACCGGACATGGACTCAAGATCGGTAGTTTTCTTTTTTTTGAGACAGAGCCTCAAGCTGTTGCCCTGGGTAGAGTGCCATGGCATCATTGCTCACAGCAACCTCCAACACCTGGGTTTAAGCAATTCTCCTGCCTTCGTATCCCAAGTAGCTGGGACTACAGGTGCCTGCAACAATGCCTGGCTATTTTTTTTTTTTTTTTTTTTGGTTGTAGCCATCATTGTTTGGTGGGCCTGGGCTGGATTTGTAGTGTTTTTTTTTCTTTTTTTGGCCAGGGCTGGGTTTGAACCCACCACCTCTGGCATATGGTGCCAGCGCTCTACTCCTTTGAGCCACAGGCACTGCCCCTGGGTTGGATTTGAACCCACCAGCTCAGATGTATGTAGCTGGAGCCTTAGCCACTTGAGCCACAGGTGCTGAGCCTCAAGATCGGTAGTTTTAAAGATCTCAAAGTCATGAGTACCAAAAGCAAAGTAATAAAGAATTATGAGAAAAGTCTACAACATCTTTTTTGGTAAAAATGGCAAAATAACACATTTTTAAACCATTTGCTGATTCACTAGTTAAGGTGCATATCTTAACTATTATGCACAATATAATTCTAACTGTTCTTTGTGAACATGCACAAAATTAGAACTTTATTAGTACTAAATGTAAATTCCAGGTTTAGATGTATACAGGGCGCTGACTGATGCTGCTCATTTGAACACAAGGTTTACTGCACTTTTGTGTGTTTATAAATCCACAGGAAGAAGGTGGGATTCTTCCTACTAGTGTCGGCTTCTGCTTCATTATCTGTCAAGCCCACCTCTTTCCCATAATCACAGAAATTACAGATGTCTAAAGCCCCAGTAGGGCATTTCATCCATCTCCTACTTTTCTTATCAGATTACTGGCTTTTTATTCTGAAAGACCAAATGAGTGGGTTTTCATCATCTCCCTATTTGAAAGTCAAGTAGACGTTATCTCTTTGGCTCCAAGGTCTAAATAGGTCCTTACTTCTTCTAATATTTTAATGTAATTCCTATCTCGATTGTATTTATGCAATTGTGAATATTTAACTATGATTTGCATTGTAGAAATTAATTCACTTCAAGAAAAATGAGAGTACAAGGCAAAATTACTTTGAAAACATCAGGTTTTCTTAATAAACATTACTGTTTCATTGAAGTACTAAAATGCTTCCCATTTAACAGTAATGAATGTGTTAAAGCAACTGCATGAGCTTTGGGACCTTGTTCATGTCCACTGTCTGGAACATGTGAAAATCCCCCTCTTCTGTTGTCCCCAGGCTCCCTACTGAGGGGCTCAGAATCTGTGCCTCCAGGGGTCTCTTCCTCCCTAATACTGAAGAAGGGCCTAACTATAGATTTTGTTAATTTTTTCCTATTTATAATTTGCACTATAAAACAACAGATTTATTTTTGCCTTCCCAAATATAAAATTATTTTAATATTGAATACGCTTTCTCAAGCTCTACAACTCCCCTCCCCATTCCTTATGAGATTTTTGATACCCTTCTTTATGCAAGAGATCTCTCTCTTGAGAATCTTTCAGCCAAGAGCCAAGTTCTGATACTGTTCAGGATAAAGCCCAATAAGCAAATTTGAGGAAATAACACTGTTTCAATTAAAATACAGAAAGAAATGTTACTATTAAAAACCTGTGCATATTATTACAATATTGTATTGAGTATTTTCTGACTCTTAAACCAAACTACTTAAACCTTATACTTGAAAACTAATGTAGAGACCTGGTTTTAAAATGACCTCCTGAGGGACTGCATCTTTTATAAAGATCAACCACTGTAACAAATTATATTGCTGCATTCACATGGTTAAAAGAATGTTTTCTTGATTATATGACTTGCAAAGTTACATACTTATTTTTCATCCATTCTCATATTTAAAACTAGGTTTTAGATTTTTCTAAATAGGTGTTTTTAAATCAGTTTTTACCTCATTTAGCAACTGAGATCTGAAGAAAGTAATGAATAAAAATTTCCTCCTCTAACATATTTCTCTGACTGATGCCACAAGATGAAGATTTAATAGGAATATATTAGTAAAATAACTACTTCTAGAAGTAATTCAGTAGTTTGGCTGGTTTTATTTTTCCAAATGCTGATGAGGTGAAACTTTTCTACACTCTGAAATTAGACTAACATTATAAATATGTATAGAACTTTAAAACTAGTTTTGAAGAAAATATGGCTGCTTGTCTTCCCCAGTTTACAAAACGATCGCTTGTGCCTTAGCAGACTGAAAAGGTAAAATCTAAAGGGACTTGCCCCCCGCACCGCAGCTAAGGGCTCACATAAAACACTTCAATGCTCTGGAGGTTTACTGCTCCAGCAAGGCACAACAGTTAAAACTCTGACAGCAATGACACCAGAAGAAGTCACAGTCCTGCGGACGTCAGTATTCCACGTCGATGTGCTTCGCGATGGTGTTCAGCTGGATGTTGGAAGTTCCTTCATATATTGTACCTTAAACAAAGGGGAGCAGAAGTAACAGGAGAGAGCCATGGTTAAGAGTCTATTAGAAATAGCTCTATGCACATTATCTCTGCATGTTATAAAACTGTCACCAGTGATAGTCACTGTCCCCTAAATATGGTACTATTTGTCAAAGTAATTTTGATAAGAGACAACAATCTTCCATTTGGCTTATAGGCGTCTAGAATCAGTACTGAACAATTGAAAATTTTGGTCATCAAACCAGTATGTATTAATTCATGAACTCCAGGGGGTTATTAAGAACTGGTCACTTTTGGAGCCGGTGTTTAGTTTCCTATATAGCCATGGAACACTGAAGGGCTCAGGCTTTATTGGGCACTTAGGTTCTGACACTAGAATGTTCTCTCAAAGATCAGCCTTAAATTACACTAATCATAACACATTAAAATTTTAAAAATTAAGGTAAATTTTTTGGCTCAGTGCCTATAGCTCAGTGGTTAGGGCGCTGGCCACAAACATAGCGCTGGTGGGTTCAAACCTGGCCTAGGCCTGCTAAACAACAATGATAACTACAAGGAAAAAATACCTGGGCATTGTGGTGGGCACCTGTAGTCCTAGCTACTTGGGAGGCTGAGGCAAGAGAATCTTTTAAGCCCAAGAGTTTGAGCTTTTTGTGAGTTGTGATGTCACAGCACTCTACCGAGGGTGACATAGTAAAATTCTGTCTCAAACAAAACAAAACAAAAATTAAGATAGATTTTGTTGCAGTTTTACTAAAACGTCCATTGAGATATTTTATTTTATTATTTTATTTATTTATTTATTTATTTATTTTCTTGGCCAGGGCTGGGTGTGAACGTGCAACCTGCAGCATATGGGGCTGGTGCCCTACTCCTTTGAGCCACAGGTGCTGCCCTATTATTTTTTTCAGCTACTCTGTCTCACTTTGTTGCTCTCTATGCTCACAGCAACCTCCAGCTCTTGGGCTTAGGTAATTCTCTTGCCTCAGCCTCCTGAGTAGTTGGGACTACAGGTGCCTGCCTCAACGCCCGGCTATTTTCTTGTTACAGTTTGGCCGGGGCTGGGTTTGAACCCACCACCCTTGGTATATGGGGCCGGCACCCTGCTCACTGAGCCACAGGTGCCACCCCAGTTTGGTGATTTCCATTTCCTTCTTTTTTTTTTTTTTGTAGAGACAGAGTCTCACTTTATGGCCCTTAGTAGAGTGCTGTGGCGTCACAGCTCACAGCAACCTCCAACTCCTAGGCTCAGGCAATTCTCTTGCCTCAGCCTCCTGAGTAGCTGGGACTACAGGTGCCCACCACAACGCCTGGCTATTTTTTGGTTGCAGTTTGACTGGGGCCAGGTTCGAACCTGCCACGCTTGGTATATGAGGCCAGCACCCTACTCACTGAACCACAGGCACCGCCCCTACTGAGGTATTTTAAAAGGCAATTTGATGTTTTTACAAACATAGCCCTCCACCCCCTTTAAAGAAGAGATAGGGAAAACACACAGCCACAAGAACGCCAATAGACACACACTGAAGAGGTTAAAATTGCCTTTATCTGGGTATGAGTAACACGAAATGGACAAATAAAATAGCCAGAACTTCTAAAGAGGCAAAGTCAAATGTAAGAAGTATCTATTTACCAATCTTTGCATCTCGGAAGTATTTTTCCACAGGGTAATCTTTGGTATAGCCGACTCCTCCCATCCACTCGATACATTTACTAGTAGTTAGCCCCGCAATCTACAAAATAAGAAGGAATCACACCTGAAACCATAACTTAGGCATTGTAAAGTCTTCTATGTAACATTTCCAGAAGGCAGGAAGTTATCTGATTAATGCTCCATAGAAGAATGGGCTCCTCAACCTCAAGGTCTTTTGAGTGACCCAGTGGCTGGAATCAGGGCAAGCTGGGAAAGAGAATGGAGGGGCAGGCTGACCTTACTAAGTGGTGAGCAGGGTGAATACTATAAAGGCCCTTTGAGGATGTCCACGCCCCAATCCCCAGAAACTGTGAATATGCTGCCCTGCGTGGCAGTAAGAGCTCTGCAGACATGATTAAGGCCCCGAGATCGGGTGGTTACCCCAGATTATGTGAGTGAGTCTAATCACAAGGGTCCTAATAATGGAAAGAGGTTTCCTCACTGAAGGCCATGTGACCAGGGACATAGGAAGCAGAGCAGAGATTTGAACAGGCCACGTTGTTGGCTTTGAGACAAAGGAAGGGGCTATGAGTCACAGAATGTAGCAGCCTCTAGAACGGTGGTTCTCAACCTTCCTAATTCCGCGGACCTTTAATACAGTTCCTGTGGGTTGCGACCCACAGGTTGAGAAGCTCTGCTCTAGAAGCTGGGAGTGGATTCGCCCCTAGAACGTCCACACAGGCAGCCCTGAGCATGCCTTGATCTTATTCCAGCGGGACCCACTTCAGATGTCTGACATCCAGGAGAGAATAAAGCTGAACGGCTGTAGGCCATTACATTCTGGGCAATCTGATGCAGCAGAGATAGGAATCTAATACAAATCTAGCTCCTTTTGTTGTGAGTAGCCACTGGAGAGAGACGTTGTCTCATAGACACTTTGAAAAGGGAGGGTCTGCCTTGGGGAAAACCACAGGGGCCAAGAGGGCAGTGAGGTGATTGTAGGAGTTTGGTCAAGAAATGACACTGCTGGACTAGACAGGTGGCAGCAGAGGAGAGAAATACAGAGTCAAGAAATCTTTGGGGGCAGGGCCCATAGTTCAGTGGGTAGGGCGCCGGCCACATACACTGAGGCTGAAGGGTTTGAACCCGGCCTGGGTCAGCTAAAACACCAATGACAACTGTAACAGAAAAAAGCCAGGTGTTGTGGCGGTGCCTGTAGTCTCAGCTACTTGGGAGGCTGAGGCAAGAGAATCGCTTAAGTCCAAGAGTTTGAGGTTGCTGTGAGCTGTGATGCCATACACTCTCAATAGTGAGACTCTTGTCTCAAAAAAAAAATAATCTCTTAGGAGTAAAATCCATGGGAACTGATTGATTTAACTTGGGAGATAAGGAAAGGAGGGTGTTGGGAGGACCTTCAGGTTCTGATGCTGCACAGGTGGGTAGGCAACAAAGAGGCTGGATATATTAGTCTGGAACTGAGAAGAGAAGGTGAGGGAGGAGATGAAATTCAGGGGCTGGAGAGGTTAAACGGGTATTTGAAAGCCATGGAATGTACAAACCTATCATTGATGCTGGGAAATAGGTACCCTATGGTTTGGCTGAACTCTCCAGCCAAAGTCTAATGTGTTAAATACAGAATGCGAACATGTGAGTAGAAAGTATTAAAGACACAGACAGCCTTTTCTTGGTATTTTTAATCTCATTTGCTCGTATTATGAAGACATCTTCCACACCATTCACTCTGCCCCAACTTGAAATGATAGACACGACACCATCGTTCAGAGGAAGCTCAACTATGGATGTGTGGGGGTGTCTGGATTTTTTTTTCTTACCTCTGATGCATAGTATTTGGCCATGGAAGCTTCTTTTATGAATGGCCTTCCGGCCTCCACGAGCCTCGCAGCGTTGTACGTCAGCAACCGCGCAGCTTCCAGCTGGGTGGCCACGAGAGCCACTTGGTGTTGGAGCCCCTGTAACAGTCAGGCCCCAGTTAGAGAATTATGATTTCTAAAAAGCAACTCATCCTCAAAGTCTTGCCTGGACACACAACACTGGCAGACTCAAAGTACACTCTAAAGGAAATTCACATTCATTGCTTTAAAATACTTTAAAGTCTGCAATCTAAAATGAAATATGAGACTATGAATATTATTAAATCCTCTTTCCTTGGAAAAATTTCAAAGTTCAAATTCTTCACAATTGTTAAGATTTAAATAATAAATTATCACAAAATTTAAGATGTTGGCTGGTGTGGTAGCTCACGCCTGTAATCTTAGCACTCTGGGAGGTGAAGACAGGTGGATTGCTTGAGCTCAGGAGTTTGAGACCAGCCTGAGCAATAGAGCGATCCCATCTCTACTAAAAATAGAAAAAAATCTAAAACAAAAAAAACTAGCTGGGAGTAGTAGTGCATGCCTGGAGACTCAGCTCCTCAGGAGACTTAGGCAAGAAGACTGCTCAAGCCCAGGAGTCTGAGGTTGCTGTGAACTGTGATGATGCCAGAGTGAGACTCGGTCTCAAACAAATACATAAGTAAAATAAAAACTCAACTGTTACATTTGATAACCATTTTCTTTTTAAGAAACAGAGTCTTAGTCTATCACCTTGGGTAGAGTACCATGGCATCATAGCTTACAGCAATCTCAAACTCCTGGATTCAAAAGATCTTCCTGCTTCAGCCTCCTGAGTAGCTGGGACTACAGGCACCCACTATGACACCTTGCTAGTTTTTTGTATTTTTAGTAAAGATGGGGTCTCGCTCTTCCTTGGGCTGGTCTCTAACTCCTGAGCTTAAGCAATCCACACACCTCAGCCTCCTAGAGTCCATTGTGGCAGCATTTGATAATCATTTTCACTTCTTTATGATCAAAATTGAGCTTAAATTAAACCCCAGCATAGAAAAACTTTGACTATATTCTTTATTTGCTTGGAGTAAGAAAATTTTGATTTTGCATAGGGCCCCAAGGCATTATAAGATGTTAGCTGCAAAGTAATAAAGGAATATTTGAAGCACCAATTACCCTCATCCTGAAATTTTGGAGGATGATTAGCTGCACACTTAATGTTTGTCAATGAAAGAAACGAACTTAGTGAGAATACAAATATTAACATTTATGGTTATAAACAATTTCCTGGAAACACTAGGCACAGATGTTTATTACAAATGGAAAGGTTCTCTTGCCTAATCTATCTATCCATCCATTCAGATACACCACGAGCAGCTATGAAATGCTAGACCGGTAATTTTCAACCCGTGTACCTCAGATCTTAGGTGGGCCATGAAAATTTTTAGAGATCGTTAATTAAATTATTTTAGAAAGGAGTTCAAAGCACAGTAAGTATATTCTTTCCTTTACTCTTTTTTTGGATCAACATAATTTAAGTGTGCTGGGGAAGTTTAACTGTAGGTTCAAGTGTGCCTCGAGATAAAAAAGGTTGAAAAACACTGGTCTAGGCGCCGGGCTTAGTGATGGAGGAATCATGCTGAACATGACAGTCAGAATTCCTTGTTTTCATGATTTATACAGTCCGACAGGAAGAACAGGTAATGAAGTAATTATAATCAGGGGTGATGAATGTTGAGCCAGAGAATTAAGGCAATCACACAGTAATCCCAGGAATGGCTTTTTGTAATTAAAATTCAGGAAAAAGCTGGAGAAAAATAACACTGCTCCTAAATATCTAACAGATTTCTTCTTCCCTTTCTGAAACATTTGACATGTACAAAAATTTGATATGTAATAACACATGTAGGTTATGAAGGCTATAAAGCATAATAAGAGACACCCACAAACCTATGTGCAGAGTAGGGGCACCTTTCCCCTTCTGGTTTATCTTTTCACTTTATGGCATCTTTTGAAGAAAAGACATATACCAGTCTTATCACCAAACCTATCTTTATGATTAGTCCTTCTTGTGCCTTGGTTATGAAATCCTTTCCTCCATGAGGTCACCTCGATATTCTACGTGTTGCCTCTCCCAGTTCCCACACAGGCACCGTGAGAAGTGAGTAAGGCACGTCTCCTGCCCCATGAGACCTCACCACTGCTGAGTTCTGGTTCCCTAACTGTGTTGAGAACACAAGGCCTGGCGTGAAGAACATGCTCAATAAATCTGTGCTGAATAAACATCTGAAAGAGCTAAGATGAACAGGCCTGGTCCCTCCCCACAGGGACCTTCTAGTCCAGAGATCAGAAAGGTGAGAATGAACACAGGCAAAACAAAAACCAAATCACTCTAATGAGATAAAGTTGTTGGGAAAAACCCTCCTAACTTTAATGAAAGCTTCACATAATGTTGCTTTTTAAGATCAAATTTCTAAGTTTTCTTTAAATTACTCGCACAAGGCATCTCTAAAAATGTCATTGTGATTATGTCTTAGTACAATTGATCTCTTGCATCTACATGTAATATACAGATACACACAGAACAGTTTCCTGTGTACAGGGAGATCAAAGACTTCTCTTAAAACTGTCTTTACATTTTGTCCCTTTCATTACAATCTTTGTCGTAGCTGGCTCTGAGCAAGGGCTCTATTATAATGAAATGAGAATTAGAGTAGGAGCCAAGACAAAACCCTGTCATTTTGGTACCATAGTAGCTATGTGACCTTGGAGACTCAACTTTTACATGCCTCAGTTTCCCACGCATAAGACGGGATGGTGGTAGGCACTGGCCAGGCCTGCGACACTCAGTCTTTCTGGGTCTTGAACCAGCCGTGCATGTCTATAGCCCAGTATGCATGTGTGCAATCTGAGCATACTTGTGTGATGCCTACTCACTGTTAGAAGCCCGCAGACCATGCAGCACAGCAGAGCTGGTAGTGTAATAAGAAACTGTACTTGAAGCCTAGAGCTGCTTAGAAGATTCTGCAACCATGTAAAGTAATTATTTTGGAATTTTAGCTGGGACTACAAGTGCCCGCCACAATGCCTGGCTATTTTTTGTTGTAGTTGTCATTGTTGTTTAGCAGGCCCAGGCTGTGTTGGAATCCACCAGCCCTGGTGTACGTGGCGGGTGCCCTGACCACTGAGTTATGGGCACCAAGCCGGCTGATTGCATCTTATTTGCATTTATGGCAGGAAACTGGTTCTTCTCTAACAGTGGTCTCCAACCTTTCTGGCACCAGGGACCAATTTCATGGAAGACAATTTTTCTACAGTTTAGGGACAGGGGATGGTTTTAGGATGATTCAAACACATTACATTTCCACTTTAGCTCATCAGGCATCAGATTCTCACAATTATCATGCAACTTAGACCCCTCACGTGTGCAGTTTATGGTAGGGTTGGTGCTCTGGTGAGAATCTAATACTGTAGATGATCAGACAGAAGGCAGAGCTCCAGCAGTGATGTGAGCAATGGGAGTGGCTGTAAATACAGATGAAGCTTTGCTTGCTTGCACACTGCTTGTCTCCTGCTGTGCAGCCTGGTTCCTGATAGGTCACAGATAGCTACTTGTCCATGGCCTTGGGTTGGGGCCATCGCTTCTTAAGACATATGTGTCAAAGTACAGTTAGTCCTTGGAGGATTACTGCACGGTTCTGGACTGAATAGGGGACTCATAACAAGTGTACTATTTACTGAGCACTTGTTCTACCTACACAATGTGAGAAATATCTTATACATACATACCTACTTTAAAACATGAGAAGGGGCCAGGTGCAGTGGCTCACACCTGTAATCCTAGCACTCTGGGTAGTGGAGGCAAGTGGATTGCCTGAGCTCACAGGTTCAAGTCCAGCCTGAGCAAGAACAAGACCCTGTCTCTAAAAATAGCCAGGCATTGTGATGGGTGCCTATAGTCCCAGCTAAAATGAGGCAAGAGAATCACGAACCCAAGAGTTTGAGGTTGCTGTGAGCTAGGATACCAGAGCACCCTACCAAGGGCAACAGACTGAGACTCTATCTTAAGAAAAAAAAAACACAATAAGGAAGTAGTTATTATTTAACAGACAAGGTAGTTGAAGCTCAGAGAGGCAAGAAAACTTGCCTACAGCCTAAAGCTACTAGGTGGAAGCAGCAGGATTTGAACCTAGGAGACCTGAGTCCAGACGCTCTGCCCTGGAACTTCTGAGGCAGTGAGGAGACGAGGCTATAGTCTCTCCAACGTGCCCGGGTCACACCATAGCCGGGCTTCAAGGACCACTGCTCTGCCCTTGGAAAAGATCAAGGCATTCACAGATACCTGTCATGAAGCCTACTCCTTCCCACCTCTCTGCCACTAAAATCTCCTTGAGGGGATTCCTTCCATCTCTCTTCAACACAGTTTTTCCATAATAGGAAGCTGGGAGAATCCAGCACAGTAGAAAGAATCTAATAATTCCATACCTGAAAATCGAATATTCTTTTGCCAAATTGTGTTCTTTCTTTCATATATGGAATAGTGTAGTCAAAACATCCTTGGGCCAGTCCCAGCATCTGTTAAAAAAAAAAAAAAATAAAAATATATATATATATACACACATATATATTAGAATTTCTTACTTTGTCACAAGTTTATGCTTTTAATTATCCAAGTTGTAAATTGTTTTCACACCTAAATTGAATAGCTGGGGTAAGAGAAGAACAGGAGATGCCCAGGTGGTGAGGTATGTGCTAGTAACAGCTCCTCAGCTGGGTGTGGTGGCTCACACCCATAATCTCAGCACTCTAGGGGGCCGAGGCATGTGGATTGCCTGAGCTCAGGAGTTTGAGACCAGCCTGAGCAAAAGCGAGACCCCTGTCTCTACTAAAAATAGAAAAACTGAGGCAAGAGAAAGGCTTGAGCCCAAGAGTTTGAGGTTGCTGTGAGCTATGATGCCACGGGGCACTCTACTGAGGGTGACAAAGTGAGACTCTGTCTCAACTCTCCACCCCCCCCCCCAAATACAACGAAACCCTTGCTTAAAAACTGAGTCTAAATCTTGACAGTTGGGGGTAGAGTGAGCCTAAGCATCAGCATTTAAAAAACTCCTTGGTTGATTTAATGCACAACTAGGGCTGAGAACAAGTGATAGAGAAACTGGTAAAAGCATTAATTCACATGCTTGAAGAAACAGATCAGGACATGGTGATAATTTTAGCTGAACTGTCTCATTGCTAATCAAATTTCATCTCTATTGAACAACTCAAGCTTAAAAATGATTCCTAAATTTCCACATTAGGTAGCCATTAAGTCACTATCCAATTATGTCAAACTTTGTAGGTTTTAGAAAAAGAAAAAAAATCAATAGTTAAAGCTTTTTGGGGAAATACCCACAAACTCATCAATATTTCATTAACATTCATTCAGATTTTCTTTTAGCCTTTTATTTTGAACTTCCTAGAGAATAGAATATTATGTTAAAATTTAAAGAGACAGGTGGTGCCTGTAGCTCAGCAGCTAGGGAGCCAGCCACATACACCAGAGCTGGCGGGTTTGAATCCAGCCTGGGTCTGCCAAACAACAATGACAACTATAACCAAAAAATAGCCAGGTGTTGTGGCAGGCCTGTAGTCCCAGCTACTTGGGAGGCTGAGGCAAGAGAATCGCTTAACCCCAAGAGTTTGAGGTTGCTGTGAGCTGACGCCATGGCACTCTACCCATAGCGACAGTTTGAGACTTAATCTCACAAAAAAAAATAAATAAATAAACTGTACAAAAGCAAATTATGTAACCAACCCATAATATTCCAAGATAAAAATAAATAAAAATTAAAAAAAAATTAAAAAGTCCCCACAAACCCCAAATAAAAATGAGGCAGCAGACTCACTGCCCTTTTGGCTATGAGATAAGATGATGTCACTGTATCCTTATAACAAAAATTTAAAGTAACATTCCATATTGACACGAAGGCTGACATTATCAGTTGTGGATTAAAATAGGTTTTCCTATTGAGTACAATGTTTCCACTATAAAATTGAAGAATTAAATTCACTCCACCTGCAAGGTTTCGAGGATGGATGCCTTCAGTTCACTGTTATAGTGGATGTCCCTCCTCTTCTAAAAGGCATCTACCCAGACAGAGTAACTACCTGACCTTAACTTTTAATTAGGTTATAAGATAAGTTGGAGTAATCGGACTAAAGCTCAGGCCATGTATTTTATTGCCAGAACATCTATATTATTTATATGTTTGGGAATAATGAGATCCAGTCCTAACCAAGTTAAATCGCAGAAAAACTTTAAAAAGAACTGATAAGCCCCTTTATAATCCCAGCACTTGGGAGGCTGAGGCGGGTGGATTGCCCTGAGCTAAAAGGTTTAAGACCAGCCTGAGGAGAGTGAGACCCTGTCTTTAAAAAACAAGAGGCTGAGGCATAAGAATTGCTTAAGCCCAAGAGTTTGAGGTTTCTGTGAGCTGTGATGCCGCAGCACTCTACTGAGGGCGACAAAAGTAAGACTCTGCCTCCAAAAAAAGAAAAAGAAAAAGAATTGATAAGCCAATATTCTTTAGTACTATACTGTTTAACTCTGTGGGAAAGGGTTAGGTTTTGATCTAAGAATAATTTGTTTGCAAAGTAACAGCAGCACAAAAAAAAAATTTAGAGTCTAAATCAGGGGTCCTCAAACTTTTTAAACAGGGGGCCAGTTCACTGTCCCTCAAACTGTTGGAGGGCCGGACTGTGGGCCCTGGGACAGTCAGTTGCTAAGCAGGACAGGCAGGTGCCACAAAAATACCCAGGGGGCCACACGTGGCCCTCAGGCTATAGTTTGAAAACAATGTCTATTCCAACAGCTGTTATATATGAAATATCTTCAAAATGTAAAAGCCACAGTTCTTAAATTTTGGATACTCATTGATTAAAAATAAACAAATACAAATAATGTTATTTATAATAACATCAAAGATATTCATTTATTAATCTAGAAAATTGTTATCACTTAATAGAAAATGTAATAGCATTATACCACGTAAAGGACAAATTTTGTTAAAAAAGTGGAACAGTTTTCATCTTATGTATATTACTTAATTGTGGCTCTTTTATTTCATATGCCACCAAAAAAAAAAAACCAAAAAACATTGTCTGATTTTTACCTGTAAAAACACTAAGCAACAAAATCTATTTATTATCTGCAGATTCTTTCTCCACAGTTCAAGGTATCCCAAAAGTTGCCCCTAAAATCACCATGCAAAGAGAACATGGAATGTTGCGGCTAAATGTACCTTTATTTATAAAATATTCACTATAAAAAATATTTGTAAAATGTATCAAATTTTGTAAATAAAGGTACATTTAACTACAATTTCTCATTCTTCCTACATATGTTGACTTTAGGGGTAACTTTTAGAACACTTTGTAGAATAAATATTATTTGTTCTTAATTTTAAAAATTTCTTCCATAATTTCATGCTTTGAAAAATTGGTTTCTTAAAAAAAACATTTTTAATTTTCAATACATTTTAGATGTTATTGGTACAGGTATTGAATAATATTTATTCAGAAAAACTGGTATTGCTAGGCCATTGTTTAGTTCTCCGGACACTTCCACAATTGCCCAAAACAGAATCTGCAAGAAGTAATCTGAAGCCGCAAGTAAGGGGAGGGTGCCATCTTGTGTTCACGAGCTTCCAAATACTCATTGGTCTTAACTGCATTGTTTTTCCGTTTTCCATTTTAATTGCCTCTCACTGTGGAACAGCTACAGTGCGACTCACCTGTGCAGCTATTCCTATTCTACCTTCATTGAGACTCTCGATGGCATACTTATAGCCATGGCCGATTTGTCCCAAGATATTAGCTTCTGGAACCTGAAAAAACAAATGAGCACTTAGTTCTCAATTTAATTTGACTGTATTCATTTTCATCTATTTTCAAAGCACTTAAAGACTCAATTTGTGTGACATTCCTCCCTCTCAGGACTTGCTGACATCTCAGCATCTCCCTCTACACTGCTTCCTCACAGCTCTCAGAGGGAAAGTACCCAGATCCACGCTGTCCACACTGCATGCTCCAAAGCCTTGCCTAACTTGCTGAAAGGATGAAGGGATCTAGAAAAAGGGAATCGGATCACATTCATCCATAACAGAAATATTTTTCCCCCCAATTCTTACCTGTATGCTGTAATGTGAGATAACATCATAAAAAACATGTAAGGCCTTGCAAAATCTAAAGTAGTAAGCCCTTCATCTGCTGAGGCTCTTCAGCGTCTCCAAAACCAACTGAGGGGTGTGTATGTGCGTGCACAGAGGGGACAGAAAGAGGAGGGAGGAAACGAACAAAAACAGTTCTTAAAAATTAAGGCCAGCAATAATAAAAAATACACTTTTGTGCATTTTGTGGACAGATGGGAGAGGGTACGGGGGAGAAGAAAGACCAGGCAAAGTACAAGGAGGGCAGTTGGAGTGAAATGGTGAGACCCAAAATGCCATTTGTAAAGATGACAACTCTCCCTTTACCCCCACACCCATGCACAAAAAGATCAAGCTCTACTATGTGTGGTGGAAAACCCACCACAACCTGCCCTACCACAGAAAGTTCTAAAGCATAAGCCTAAGAATTCCGTCAATCTGTTCCTAAGAGACTTTCAACTGTGGGCTTTGCCTGCCTGGTTTCTGCTCTCGCTGCGCAACATCGCCATCTTGTGGCCTTTGGTGCACTGACACCAGACTCCCTTCTGCGAAGCCACCTTTGGTTCTCAAGGATCAAGTTAAAAAGTATAAATGGTTCAGAAGTATGTAAGTTGTAAAACATAAATGGCGTTAATTCTCAACATTTGCTCCTGAGGCCAGCTGCTGGGCAGAAAGATTTCCACCCCTGGCCTAAACTTTTGTTGTAAAACGAGTGTTCAGTCATGACTTAAGTGCACTGTTGAGGAGTTTCACAAAATATTCTCCTGTGAGTGCTTGTTGCCCCTTGATACTTTGACACCTCTCTTGAACACCTACTATGATGCCAAGCTCTTTTCACATCAGTCTTTTATCGAATATTCTAAGATACCGACCTTGACATCTTCAAACGTTAAAGGGCACGTGGAAGACGCTCGGATCCCCATTTTGTTTTCTGCTCTTCCTATACGAAGGCCTGCACTATCTCGATCCACTAAGAAGCAGGTAATTCCTTTATATCCCTTAAAAAGAAGATTTAAGATGCTATTACCACTTAGCCTTACAAAATCCCTTGTTTCTAAAGAACTCAAAGTAAAAAGGAAACTAAAAATAGACTTTGGCAATAAATACTAATGTACTCAGAATGACAACACGGGCATTATGAAACAAGAGGGAATGAAGGACATTCAATCCAAACTCAAGTACCTGACCGCTCCTTTCACTTTTTCAGAAACTGTCAATGACATTAAATTTACTGTTATACATGTAATTTGACAAGATGATGAGCATTCCATATTTTAAATTTAATTTTATTATATACTTTAAAGTTTTAGCAATTTATTTTAAATAATACATTAATGAAAAGATAAAAGATTAAAATTTGCCATTTTATTTACCATTTTGCTAGATGTATATTTTCCAACTGAACAAAATATTCTTAAAATAAATAGATACTTAAATTCTTTTTTTTTGAGACAGAGCCTCAAGCTGTCACCCTGGGTAGAGTGCGGTGGCATCACAGCTCACAGCAACCTCCAACTCCTGGGCTTAAGTGATTCTCTTGCCTCAGCCTCCCAAGTAGCTGGGACTACAGGTATCCACCACAATGCCTGGCTATTTTTTGATTGCAGCCATCATTTTTGTTTAGCGGGCCTGGGCTGGATTCCAACTTGCCAGCTCAGGTATATGTGGCTGGAGCCTTAACTGCTTGAGCCACAGGCGCCGAAGTAATACTTAAATTCTTTATTATTAAATAGAAAATTGGAATTCCACAACATTAAAGATTAGATTCCTATATATTATGAGATAAGTAATAAAATGGTTCTCTGTGTTCAGTCATCCCTTGGTATCTGGGGAGACTAGTTCCAGCACCCCTGAGGATACCCAAATCCACAGTCCTTTATATAAAGTGCTCAAGTCCCTTATTATAAAATACAGTAGTATTTGCACACAACTTATACACACACTTCTGCAGACTTTAAATAATCTTTAGATTACTTATACAGCCTCATACGATGCCTATACATCACTTCGTTCTAAGTAGTACTTGGTGCATGGCAAATTCAAGTTTTGCTTTTTGGAACTTTGTGGAATTTTTTTTTTGAGACAGAGTCTCAAGCTGTTGCTGGGTAGAGTGCCATGGCATCACAGCTCACAGAAACCCCCAACTCCTGGGCTCAAGTGATTCTCTTGCCTCCACCTCCCAAGTAGCTGGGACTACAGGTGCCCACCACAATGCCTGGCTATTTTTTGGTTGCAGCTGTCATTGTTGTTTGGTGGGCCTGGGCTGGATTCGAACCTGCCAGCTCAGGTGTATGTGGTTGGCGCCTTAGCTACTTGAGCCATAGGTACCTAGCCATGGAATATTTTTCTGAATATTTTTGTTCTGTGGTTGGTTGAATCTACAGATGTGGAACCCACAAATACAGAGGGCTGGTTTTAATTAGTAATTGTGTCAACAATATTTATTTTACGTTAGTAATGAGAGGATGAAAAGATGCCAGTTGAGATCTAACATTTTTGGTACCGAGAAGGAAAAACATCAGGCTAAATCCTAAAAAGGAAATGGAGAGAGGACAGTGAAAAGAAGAGAGATGAGAAGAAAAGAGGGATTAGTTTTATCTCCACACTCACAATGTTGGGGTCTACATTCGCCATCACCAGGAACAGGTCTGCATACTCGGCACTGGAGATCCACATCTTGGACCCATTGATGACATAATAATTTCCCTTTTTATCAGCTCTCGTTTTCAAAGCAAACGGGTCGCTACCTGCTCCGGCCTCTGAGAGACAGAAACTTCCTATCTACGTATAAGAGAAAAACAACTGACATTAATGACTATATTTGTACTCTGTATAACAAAACTTATGGCAAAATGGACATTTATAAATCAAACCTTTATCTAGTTTTTAAAAAAGTCTATATCTATCAAAATTGTAATATTATTCTGACAGTATTATTTTCCAAAATATATGAGGTTTAACAATTAAGTTTGTGAATTCATCCTAGAAAAAGTGCCACCGACTTCATTGCTGGATATCACTACGGTCACCTTTGAAGTCCTCCCATTGGCTATCTGATGACCGTAGTGATTTTCAGCAAGTGAGGTATGTCACACTTTCTCTAGGATGAGTTCAAAAACTTAAATGTAGACCTCATACGATGACAGCTCTGATGGCCATTCCAGCAAAAGAGTTTTAAAACTGCTTTGAAGTGCTGGCAGTGGTGCATAGCCCCCCAGGCAGAGCACTCTGAAGGTCACCATACTGATACTCAGCAATGAGGCAGGTTGCACTTTTTCTAGGATGAATCCAGGAATGTAATTGTCTGACCTCATATGCCAGAATTTGTTTAAGACAAATTCAAAGACTTAAGAACACACAATGAAGTTTATTTAAATTGATTCTAATAATTATAACAGAAAGACATCTCAATGTAAATGAAACCATCAACAAAGGTATTAGAGAATATAACTGGGACAAAAAGGAAATAATTTTTTTTTTTTTAGACAGTGCCTTACTATGTCACCCTCAGTAGAGTGCTGTGTTGTCATAGCTCACAGTAACCTCAAATTCTTGGGCTTACGCGATTTTCCTGCCTCAGCTTCCCAAGTAGCTGGGACCATAGGCACCTGCCACAATGCCCGGCTATTTTTCTGTTGTAGCTGTTATTGTTGTTTAGCAAGCCGGGGCCAGTTCTAACCCACCAGCCCTGGTGTAGGGTGCTAGCGCCCTAACCACTGAGTTATAGGCACTGAGCCTAAAAAGGAAATAATTTTTTTGTCTGATGATTATTCTCTAAATTTTCAAGTGGCAGATGAGAGGCAAAGTGTATTTTTCTAGTAATATTAATTTATTGAGAATTGCTTGATTAATTGATGGTGTTGCACTGTGTTTCTAGATAATAAAGTCAATAACACAGCTACTTTTCTCCTGAAAATATTGTAAATTTAGAAATGATCAGACTCATTTCAACAACTTATCTCAACTCACCATCTCTGTAGCCAGCTTGGGTAAATAGGTGGCCTTCTGCTCTTCTGTTCCAAGTTTTGTAATCATTTTGTTAATTATTGTGTTCTGGAGGTCACAAAAGATTGCCACAGCTGCATCGACTTTGGCTAATTCCTCTATCACGAGGATAGTGGAAAAAAATGAAGCTCCCGTCCCTCCATATTTTGTGTCAATTTCAACACCCATCAACTAAGGGAAAAACAAGGAAACAGATTAAGAAAGCTATTTTATACGGAGAATTTCTTGCAAGTACAAATTCAAAGATAAACTGTAATCATATATATTCTCGACTTTAAAATTTTGCATGTATTATTTTAATTTGGTATGGCTATTTTGCTATAAGTAGCAAAATCTGTTACAGAAACTATATATATTTGAAATGCAGGAAATTACATGCTATCATTTGTTTCCTTTTGGGATCCAAGAAATGAAAATAATGGAGGTAAAATGCTTTGAAGGATAACCGAACAGAATGAGAAAATACATACTCTATAATATATATATATATATAATCTGATGACCTTTCTTGTTAAGAACTATTCTTGCCTGCTTAAGGACTGTATTTGGTGGCTTGGAGCTTGTAGCTCAGCAGCAAGGGTGTCAGCCACATACACTGGAGCTGGTGGGTTCGAATCCAGCCTGGGCCTGTCAAGCAACAATGACAACTACAACCAAAACATAGCTGAGTGTTGTAGCAGGAGCCTGTAGTCCTAGCTACTTGGAAGGCTGAGGCAAAAGAATCACTTAAGCCCAAGAGTTGGAGGTTACTGTGAGCTGTGACGCCACAGCACTCTACTCAGGGCCACAGCTTGAGACTCTGTCTCAAAAAAAGAAAGACTGTAGATGGTGTTTTGGTTTTTCAACATGACATCCTTTATACTGATTTCAGTGTCCTAAAGAAACAGAAGAAAATATCCCTCAGTGGGAATATCTACAGTTTTATTTGGTATACTTTCTTCTATTTGGGCTCTTACACATTGACTTTCTTTTGTGAAGACAGAATCTCACTCTGTTGCCCTGCCCCAGGCTAGAGCGTCCTGGCATCATAGCTCACAGCAACCTCAAACTCCTGGGTTCAAGCGATCCTCCTACCTAAGTCTGCTGAGTAGCTGGGACTTCAGGCACCTCCCACAACACCCAGCTAGTTTTTCTATTTTTAATAGAGATAGGGGTCTCGCTCTTGCTCAAGCTGGTCTCAAACTCCAGAGCTCAAGAGATCTTCCTGCCTCAACCTCCCAGAATGCTGGGATTACAGGTGTGAGCCACTGTGCCTGGCCTACCTTGACTTTTCTTAGCCTGGAAAATAATTGAATGCCCATTCCTCTTGGGTCATTTTAGCAGGTCGAGGATGGTTAGCAGACATTTGGACATGTTTACACTAGACAAGGCACAGGTACCTGGTAAACACGAACAAATGCTGGCCAAGGTCTTCCAACAACCCTGAGGAAGTCTGACCAGTCACCACTGGACCTTCCACTGTACTCTCAACTTCAGAAAGACAGCGTGTGTACATGTACTCAAGACCCACAGCTGCTAACAGATGAAAGGACGATGTTCCTCATCCTTCCAGACAATCTTGGAATCGTATCAGGCTGCAGTCAGGGCTGTGGCTGTTAGTTCAGGCTGAGGGGGAGGATGACTGAGATGGCCAGAGGAACAGAAGTGATGTTCTGGGAGGAAGAACGGAAGGATCTGGGTGTGCCTGAAGACTCAGGAGGGATGCTAACTATCTGATTATATGTCTTCAACAGCTGTCAGAGATGATGAGTCTCTAAAAATGTGACTAATTTCCCACAAAGTGGAAATACTGTTTTGTTAGCTATTATGATAGGTGACCAAAGGGCTGGGACGAAGGGGTGAGAGGCGGGTGAGGCGGCATCTAAGAAAGAGCAGTTTATGGAGATGAGCAGTAGCGGGTAGGGCTCACTGCAGACCCTTCTATTTGGGCTCCTACACATTGGCTTTCTTTCTTTCTTTCTTTCTTTCTTTTTGAAGACAGAATCTCACTCTGTTGTCCCAGGCTAGAGTGCCCTGACATCATAACTCACAGCAACCTCAAACTCCTGGGTTCAAGTGATCCTCCCGCCTAAACCTGCTGAGTAGCTGGGGCTTCAGGCACCCCCCCACAATACCCAGATAGTTTTCTGTAATCCCAGCACTCTGGAAGGTTGAGGCAGGAGGATCACTTGAGCTTAGGAGTTTGAGACCAGCCTGAGCAAGAGCGAGACCCCGTCTCTATTAAAAAGCCTGGACTGCAAGAACTGCCACTTCAAGAGAGAGGTTTCAAACTCAAGTCAGAAAACTTCTCAGAGAAGCCTAGAGGATGTAGAAACAGTGAAAGAAAAGAAAAAGTTTTTTTAAAAAGTAGGCCAGGCGCAGCGCTCTCACCTATAATCCTAGCACTCTGAGAGGCTGAGGTGGGTGGTTTGCTTGAGCTCAGGAGTTTGAGACCAGCCTGAGCAACAGTGAGACCCCGACTCTACTAAAATAAAACAAACTCGCCAGCTGTAGTGGTGGGAGCCGACAGTCCAGCTACTTGGGAGGCTGAGGCAAGAGGATTGCTCAAGTCTGAGAGTTTGAGGTTGCTGTGAGCTATGATGATGCCATAGTACTCTACCCAGGGTGACAGAGCGAGACTCTGTTTCAAAACAAACAAACAGTAGAGCTTTTTAACTATGGAGCATTGAGTTGGAGAGTACTTTGCTGTGGCATCCGCACGATGCCCTGTAGGGTCTGGCTGCGTCCCTTGCCTCCAGCTCTCCAGCAGAACAACCCTGTTACAACAACCCAAAGTGTCTCCTGACATTGCCAAATGTTCACTGGAGGGCAAAACTGGCCCCTGTTGAGAACCATTGACCTAAAGAAATGCATCACTGTCTCACTTCCCAAGTTTTCCTTAAAAAGCACAGTATTTCTAATTTTAAATGTGAATTCCATCTTTAAGTATATAAACATTAACTAGGACTTCAATCTAAAAAAGAACAGATCATTTTGGCTAGGAAATGAAGAGTTCATTATGCAATTATGATAGTCTTTAAATCTAAAAATATGCATACATTTAAACACTGAAATGTAATTATAAAAGCTTGAAATTTGAAGAATTATAAAACATACCCCTTGTTGAAATAATCCTTCTAGTACTGACTTCTCCATTTTCGAATTTTCATCCATGGTTGAAACCAAAGGAGCAATTTGTTCCTGTGCAAATTTTTTAACTGCAGGAAAAGAATTACTGATAAGTCTATCTCAGGTAGCAGTCATATTAATAAAAATTACAATTAGCTCATAACAGCTTGCTGACAAAATTTTGCCTTTTAACTAAAAAGATATACATAAGCATTCTTCTTTCAAAATATAATTTATGAAGTGTTTTAAACATGTACATGTATAATTCCTCACTCCCCTTTGTAACTTCTGGTGACATTAAAACATAAATAATTCATGTATATGACACAACCACAACAAAACAGAAAGCACAAAATGAAACATGAAAGCCCTGCCCCTGCCCCAGCCCCTCAGTCTACTACCTAACGGCAACTAGCTTTAAGTTTATTATATATTATTTCTGAAAACTTTCTTTTGAGAATCACCTATATTTATCTGTACAGAAACATTTTATATATATTTTTTACACACAGGAAGCATAAAATACATATTTAATGGTATCTTGCTTTGCTCCCACTTATATCTTTTTTAAAAAAATTTTAATTTTTTTTTTTTTTTGCAGTTTTTGGCCAAGGCTGGGTTTGAACCTGCCACCTCCAGTATATGGGGCTGGTGCTCTACTCCTTTGAGCCACAGGTGCTACCTCCCACTTCCATCTTGATGATCTTTTTGTGCAGTGCATCCCCCTCGCTCGGCCCTTTAACAGCTGCCTGGTCATGTGGAACAGGGCTTCTCCGCTTTGCATGCTGACATTCTGGGGCAGGGTAAGTTTTTTTTTCTTAGAGACAGAGTCTCACTTTGTCGCCCTCAGTAGAGTGCTGTGGTGTCACAGCTTACAGCAACCTCCAACTCTTGGGCTTAGGCAATTCTCTTGCCTCAGCCTCCCCAGTAGCTGGGACTATAGGCACCCGCCACAATGCCTGGCTATTTTTTTGTTGCATTTTGGCCAGGGCCAGGTTCGAACCGGGTTCGAACCCACTACCCTCAGTATATGGGGTCGGCGTTCTACTCAATGAGCCACAGGAGCCACCGAGGTTAAGCTATGTTGTTGGGACGTCCTGTGTGTTGTATGGCAGCATCTCTGGCCTTTGCCCCTCTAGCTACTGGTAGTACCTCCCAGTCTCAAGTTGTGGCAACCTAAAGTGTCCCTAGATATAACTAAATGTCCCTGGGGGCGACATTGCCCCCATTGAAAACCACTGTTCTAGACCTGGTAAGTCTTGGATGCATGCCAATTCATTCTGATGAAAACACCTTGTTAACTTTACCATCACCATAATACCACGTGCGCACATGGGCAGAGAAGCCCATGGGGCCAGACCAAGAGATCGGCGCATGCTGGCTTAATCTAGGATTCCTCTGTATCTGCACAAATGCTTCCCCTGTCTAGAATGTCTTCCTGTCCCTCGTCCAGCTAGTCAACTGCTCTTTATCCTTCAAGGTACAGCTGAAGAACCACACTCTTTGCCCAGCCTTTCCTGACTCTCCCCTAGCCTACCTCCTGCCACCTCTAGCTAATTTTAGGTACTCTCTGCTTCACTCTCCAAATACCTCCATGACCTTTACCATGTTATTCTGAACTATTTATTTGACTATGAAGTTCTTTAAAGGCAGTGATTTTTCTCTTTACTCTTTAGATAAGCACTAAATAAACAGATATGAGTGATTCTTTTGATTTATGTAAAATATTTGACCACTCACCCTATTTCTTTCTTAACCACCCCAAACTCATCTCCCCAAAAGACCATATTTAAAAGTTGAAGGAACAAAGGAAAATAAATTTACTTATTATAGTTGTAAGAATTCTTTAAAAAAATTTTTTTTGAGATGGGGTCTTGCTATATTGCCCAGGCTGAATAGCAGTGGCTATTCATAGGCATGATCATAGCTCACGACAGCCTCGAACTCCTGCCTCAGCCTCCCTAGTAGCTGGAAGTCCGTGCATGCCACTGTGCCCATTCTATAGTCAGAATTCTAAGACTGCCCCAAGATTCCAAAGCCCTGGTATCTACATCTCCTTTCAGTTTATTCAATGGAACATAAATCCAAGTGCTGCTGAGATATTTTTTAATATCTATGTGTGTGTGTGTGTATATATATATATATAAATTAATGTTGTAGACCCAACTTATTACCAGGTCTCAAATCAGCTGACTTAAAACAGACAGATTATAGTTGGCGGGCCCTACCTAATCAGGCGAACCCTTGAAAAAGATGGGGCTCTATCTGGTGAAACAGGTTTTAAGTATGAGAAGGATGTGATGCAAAGGAGAATTACTGATTTTGAAGACAAAGGGAGCCACACAACAAGGAACACAGAGGCCTCCAGAAGCAATGAGCAACCTCAGGCTGACAGCCAGCTGGGCAATGGGGACCTCAGTCCTATAGTCACAAGGAACCAAATCCTGATACAGCCTTGGGAGCTTGGAAGCACTCTGAGCTCCAGATGAAAATGTACCTTACCTCAAAGTTAGTCAGTCTTCCGAGACCCTGAGTCTGGCTCGTTACCCCTGGGCTTCTAAGCTACAGAACTGTGAGTTAGTGGGTGTTGTTTTAACCTATTAAGTCTGTGGTGACTTGATACCCAGTAACAGAAAACAAATACACTTACCATCTGTACTCTCCAAGAACATTCTGACATTGTGCTCTAGATTTTTAAGTGTGCCATAATTTTATACACACACAGATATCTACACATGTATATAAATGAATACAAACTGCTGTAGGTTTATGGCATGCAACCTCTGTTTCTTGATTCAGGCTTTGTATTTCAAAGACAGGTGTTTCATAGTAAAGGTAAATTTTAAATTCCACATCAAATATAAACACCCCCCCCCCCTTTAAAAAACAAAATGGACCTATGTGTACTTCTAAACTCTGCAAGGCTGTTTAAGAAACTGGTGAGAAGGTGGCTCTGGCAAGATCTGGGAAACTCGGAACAGAGGTGAGAGCGACTTCACTTTTAACCATATAGCCTTTTATTCTGTTGTTTTTTTAAATCTTAGAGAAATCTTAAATCTTAGAGTATTACCTTTTCAAAAAAAGAAAAAAGTAAAAATTCCATTCCCAAAGTTAGATGGACGTATTTCCCAACCATAATTTCATGTACACCCAGCTCATTATCAGAAGATGAGGTGAAGCTGAGAAATTCACTCACCTGAGCTCTTTATCATTATTTCGTCATCTGTAAATGTTTGCAGTGGGGCAAGTGGGAGTCTGTTATTTGCCATCTCGAGCAGAGCTTCTGACTGGGAAGATTTTTGGACATGAGGAGGAATCTTCCAAGAAGACAGGCAAGTTGGAAAATGTCTTCTTAGCTAGAGGAGCAGATCCCAGTGAAGAGGGCACACATACAAACAAACAAAAGAAAGGTATCTGGACATCAGTCTCTTCGGGAATAACTTTACAACTCGTTCTTACATTTCATATCACCAAAATAAAGCACCTTAACCTACAACATTTTTTAATTCACTATCTTTTGAACACAAACACATTAGTTTGATAACATTATCAGATATCTCCGTTATTGAGTAATGAGCTGTTTTAAATAACACATTGCTCAGATAATTAACTTTAAGCAATAAAGGAAACAAAACTTTCTAGAGAGGATTCAATTCTTAAAATGTATTTCATATTCCACTGAGTTCTTAGATAGGAAAACTGGAATTATAACACTATTGATGTCTATTTGACTGCCACCAAGAGACCATTCTCTTATGGGCTGGGCATGCTGGCTCAAAGACAATGGTCTTGATGACGGTCAAACTTATTATCCTAGCACTCTCAGAGGCTGATGTGGGGGGATCGCTTGAGCTCAGGAGTTTGAGATCAGCCTGAGCAAGAGCAAGACTTTGTCTCTACTAAAAATTGAAAAACTAGCTGGGTATTGTGGCTGCTGCCTATAATCCCAACTACTCAGGAGGCTGAGGCAGGAGGATCACTTGAACCCAGGAATCTGAGGTTACTGTGAGCTATGATGCCCTAGCACTCTAGTCTGGGCAACCAGAGTGAGACTCTGTCTCAAAAAAATAAAATAAAATAAAGAGAGAGAGAGAGAGAGAGAGCATTCTCTTGTAAGGGTAGAGCTAACTGCCCTTCTGCAAGTGGCCCAGGCAGCTGTGTTTTTGAAATTTTGCTAATTTTTTTCAACTTTTTATAAGTAAGAGATACTATAGCATAAAGGTTAAGAAAATAGGCTCTGGAGTCGGAAAGAACTAGTTTCAAATCTAATACCTGATGTTAATACTTATGTGATCTTGGGCAAGTGGTATACATATACTGAGTCAAAGTCTCACCCTGTCACTCCTGGTTGAGTACAGGGGTGGCGTCACAGTTCAATGTAGCCTCAAACCTCTGGGCTTGAGGAATGTTCCTGCCTCAGGACTAAAGCCAGGAGTCACAACACTACTGAGGTACAAATTGATTGTATGCCTATAGGCATATACCACCATGCCGAGCTAATTTTTCTATTTTTTGTAGAGATAGCATCTTGCTATGTTGCTCAGGCTGGTTTCAAACTCCTGGCCTCAAGTGATCCTCCTGCTTTGACTTTCCCCAAAGTGCTGGCATTACTAACGTGAGCCACCACACTCAGCCTGGGCAAGCAAAGTCTCAGTTAAAACCACTCTGAGACTCGTCTCTACTAAAATCTTTCCTTACCTATAAAATACAGATCATAACCTCTTGCAGTTTTATAAGGATTAGTAAAATAATCCATGAAAGGGTTCAGCCTATGCTGCCATACAGTAATGGCTCAGTAAACATAAACATTAAGGACGATTCCTACTACAACTGCTGGTGGTGGAGGTGGTCACAGTGTAAGCGGTAGGTAGCAGTAATAATCATTTCTTGCTATTAATGTGCCTCCTTGTTGCAGTGCCCCAAATCCTTTAACAAATGTAGAAATACACAGAAATATGTTTGCTTAATCATTTTGACTAAACACGTGAAAAGCTGAGAAAAGAGAACAAAGAAACAGGAGTCACCGTGTTTGAAACCACTGTCAACCTTTGCTACACACAGGCCAATCTTTGCAATTCTGTTCCCGGAGGGAAAGAAATCCCATCAGAAGAGACTCATGTCCGGGTAAGTCTGCGTCTCCATTGTTCTTGTTTTGTGTTCAGAATTAGGAGACAGTTTAGGGCAAAGTCGTGTGGAATTCTTTTTTTCCTCATTATAAGGCAGACTTGGGGCAAGAAAATTTCAGGCTAGAAAGAAGGCAGAGAGGACATGAGGTATTGTCGTCTTCCAGAGGAGACAGACAGTGAGAATTACAAAGAGCATGGGCCAGGTGAGGTGGCTCACGCCTGTAATCCTAACACTCTGGGAGGCCAAGGCGGGTGGATTGCTTGAGCTTAGGAGTTCAAGACCAGCCTGAACAAAAGTAAGACTCATTTCTACTAAAAATAAGAAAATAACCTAGGTATGGTGGTACATGCCTGTAGCCCCAGCTAGTTGGGAGACTGAGACAAGGGAATTGCTTGAGCCCAGGAGTTTGACATTACTATGAACTGTGATGCCACTGCACTCTATCCTGAGACAACAGAGCAAGACTCTGTCTCAAAAATAAATAAATAAGTAAATGAATAAATAGATATTTAAAGAATTTTAAAAATAAGAATAGGATGGGCATAGAGGCATGCACCTATAATCCCACGTCTTGGGAGAATTGGCCTGAGGCCAGAAGTTGGAGACCAGCCTGGGTGACACAGTGAGACACTATGTCTAAAAAAATTAAAAATAATAAAAATAAAATTTTAAAAATTATAAAAGAAAGAAGGGTAAAGGAGAAGTGAGGTAAGAAATGGAAGTGCAAAGGGGCTCAAGAAGGGGGGCAATGCTGCTTAGTAGCGGAAGGAGGGGACGTGGTCGGTAGCATCTGGCACAGAGAAGGGAGCAGGACCGGGGAGAAAGGATGGAAGTATTAGGGGGAAGGGAGAGAGGGAAGGGTGGGGGCAAGCTGGCTCCGGGGCTGGTGGTCCCGTCTTAAATGAGATCGGCAAGTCTGTGAATGAATGAGAGGAGACGGTCTTCTCCACAAAATGCTCAGGAAACTTGCCCAGTCATTTCAGAAACCGTAAGAGACGGCCTACACTTCTTATTTCTAAGGGAGATTATTTACTTCACTAAACCCACTACAGAATTCTTTGTGTTTCTTAGTCAATATGTCACCTTTGCACCTAAGTTTATCTTTAGATGAAAGCTTACCACCGAGAAACTTAAGAGCCAGTGGGTCTTACCACAGTATCTATTTTTCCTGCTGACACGACTGGGAGCCCCTTAGTTTCAATACTGCTACTGACAAAGCAGATGACTGTTCAACACACAGTAATTGTTTTAGATTCACAGAGAGGATATCAGAGGCAAATGTACTTGAAAAAGTCTGGAATGGTATGCAGTCACAGGGGAGATAACTGAAGATACCCATAAAATATGCTGAGCGGAGGCCGTTTTTAATGAAAGCATTAAGAGATATTACCTATCTTTTTCTGGCAGAAAAAAAATTCTATTTAATAAGACAGTTTTTAATAAAGGAAACGTTTCTTTCCCTTACCCTTAACTGCACGGCCTGAAGTTTCAATGTTGATTTTCTCATGTCCTCTGCCCTTCAGTGGTGACCTCAGCCTTTGCAGCCTTGGTGTCCACTCCATCAAAATGATTTTCCACAGTTATAACCCATTGCACCACATCATCACATTTTTTTGTACAGAGCAGCAATTGCTACTTGAATGGAATAATGGTTATTTATGCCTTGCCAAATACTTTTTTCAGAGTTGAGTCTGATCTGTTTCCTCCTCAACTGACCAGACTTGTGCCACACTTAGAAGTGCTGATGATCAAGCCTGGGGCCTGAAGACCCCTACGGACAGGACAGAACGATAGAGCCCATGAACTTGGATGGAGGAAAAATTAACATCTTCGTTTCACTAATCACTTAACTGCAACAGCACTTCTTTCAATCATGAAGGCTGATAACTAGTTATAGTAGTTTTAGCAGAATCTATGACACTGTCATCAAAAGAAATTACAGATAGCTCACTGAGTTGGTGCAAATATCTTGAAATATTGTTTGAGCTCACCACTATTTGAAATTCACAGCATGCTGCCAGATCTAAAGAAGCACGTGTTACTATGTCATAGTTAACATAGATACTAAGTTACTATGTTACTATGTTATAATTAAACAAATTATAATTATCATTTTCTCTACAATCCTGTATATTTTATACATTTTTAAACATTTTGATAAAATGTCTGTAAACTTTACTACACTGTTGTATGCACCTTACTCATGTCACAAAAAAGGTTAAGAACACGTGATTATGGAATCATCAAAAGAAATTATAGATATTTTTATATTACACTGAGTTGGTGCAAATATCTTCAAATACTGCTTGTGCTCACTACTATTTCAAATTCACAGCAGTTATTAGAATTGCTGCCAGAGCTTAAGAAGCACATATTACTATATTACAACTTAAAAACGTAAATTAAGGCTTGGCGCCTGTAGCTCAGTGGTTAGGGCACAGGCCACATACACTGAGGCTTGAACCTGGCCTGGACCAGCTAAACAACAATGACAACTGCAACAATGAAAATAGCTGGTCGTTGTGGTGGGTGCCTATAGTCCCAGCTACTTGGAAAGCTAAGGCAAGAGAATCGCTTGAGCCCAAGAGTTTGAGGTTGCTGAGAGCTGTGACTCCATGGCATTCTACTGAGGGCAACATAGTAAGACTCTGTTTCAAAAATACAAACTTAAAAAAAAATGTAAATTATAATTTCCTTTATAATCCTATATATTTTATACATTTTTAAACACTTCGATAAACATTGTTGTATATTCCTCACTCATAGAAAAGGGTTAAGAACACCTGATTGGGGAATGTTATGGTAAAGGTTCTTAAACTTAGTTACTGTGCTGATCATAACCCTTTCTCTATTGTGCTCCAGCTTAATGAAGTATTGTTGCAAACAGTATTAAAGTGCTTCAAACCTAGACGTTTTCATATCATATGAAAGGCTACAGAAGACACCAACAAAGCTGTGTTGGCCTACAAAGAATGGATCAGGCTTTTCACAGAGAACACTTCCAGCGTAACACAACGGCCCTTGACCTTAAATCCCTGTAGTCATTTGTTCCTGCCTAGCTGGGTCCTCTTCCTCTCCCTCCTCCCTGAGATAGTTCAGAGGCACATCTGCACCCCGTGGGCCGACTGTCCACCCAGATGTCATTGAGCACTACACACAATTCTCTCCCTGTCAACTTCTTAGAACATTCCTTTCTCTTTCCTGAAGTAAGGGTGACTTCACTTTCCCC